GCATATGCAAAACCACAAACTATGGGGGATTCTTTCTTCACAATTTACAAACAGCGATTACAGGTTTTACATTGTTTTATACAAATTAATTAATGCACTGTATGTAAATTTTTATTACCTTTAATTTTAAAACAATTCTGATGTCCCTACTTTGAGACATAAAAACGATATCATATGACTGATAGCCACTGTATAAAGGAGTAATAAGTACATGTATAGATATTACATTTTGCCTTTGCAAAACATGTACCCTTTGAGTTTTTCATACAATTAATATTAAACATTAATAATATTCTTCAAAATTGATTTCATTAGTCATGTATATATTTTCACATAATTTGTGAACAAAATTTGTTGCATACAACAAGATAAAGTTCAGAGAGACAAAATCATTGAACGTTAAAATTAACTGATGTTAACTCATTTTTAACAAACTGGGTATAATGAACTTAAAATATTAATCATAACTTTTAAAATAAGGTATTCAATATAATAAGTAACTACAGTGCTATATGTTTTATACTCATCACAAGTAAATTACAAGCTAGTACACATTACATATGATGAAAAACTAAACATCACTGGCAATTAGTGATATATATTTCAAGATGATTATGAAAAGTACTCAGTACTTATAAAAAAAACTATAAGAGGATAAATATTGGCACTAAAAATGATAGGGATATAATTATAAATATCTGTGTATATAAGGAAAAAAGAACACCCAACAATTCAAAATAAAGAAAACAAAGTACAATATACAGATAAGCATTTTATCATAAGTATAAAGTTTGGACCATCTGAACAATACGTACTCTTTGTTTTTGAATATATACATAGTCATAAAAGGAAAAACACATGTTAATAAAAAGAAAACAACAAAATACTGTTTAGACATGCAATTTTGGCCCCTTAACAAGTTTAAATAGTATCAATCAAAATTCAAGATAGTCAAAAAACAGACATACACTTAATCAAGAACCACAAAAAAATTTGCTTTAATTTATATTGGCTAATTAGCACAATAAAATAAAATATCATAAATAATAAATACAATTCACAAATTTACTTTCATAAACTGTCTCAAAAATTGGATAAATTGTAATCTGTATCAAGAGATTTTTTTTTACATTGACCTGAAAAGATCTGAATAGTGGATAGCAATTTCAAGCTCTAGAAAGGTTAACTGCACTTTAAATTGGTATTAAGAATGGAATCTAGAACTCTGTAATGATGCTTCAGAGTAATTTACATCTATAACAAGATGTTTATGATATACAATATCAAGGTAATTACAGCTTTTTAGAAAAGTGTCATGGAATTCTACAGCAATCTACATAAACAATATCATACAAAGGGTGATCAAAAAGTTCCCAAACTAATTGAATACCTTTCAAAAAAGAAATGATATAGGGTTTCAGTGTTGAAAATTTTTCAAAGTAGTCCACTCTGATTTAAATGCGCATCTGTAACCGTTCTGCCCAGGCATGGATCACGTGATAAAGGCATTTATGTGACATCCTCATCAGCGTTCTGTCACAAATGCTTTAAGATTTTTCTGACTCTTATATTTCTTACCATGCAAGTTATTTTTTACAACAAAAATAGCCAGTTTGTCAGAAATATAGATAGATAATGATATCCTTTTCCAGAATGAGCATGGTGACCATCAAAACCCAAGTACTCTGTCTTTGGAGCGTCGTTTACTCCATATGTATAGACTATGGGTGCCTTCTTTTTTATCATATCTGATATGTTTAAAGTGTAAAGTAAAGGATATTTAAGGGATTTACTGAATATATTATTGTTAAGATATTCAACTATTTTTCTAACTGTAAGTTGGCGATCTTTCATATTAAATAACTTAACAAAGGACACATCTCTTCCCCAGCTTGGTTTCATTAGGCAACAGAACAAACATCATTTTTTAACAACACCCTTCCTTCTCTTAAACAATCAATCCAATTAATGACTTAACTTCTGGCAAGTCTTTTGTCTTCATAAACCATGTACAAATTATTATAAGGTTCTGCAGAGGAATGTCCAAGATCAATGTTTAACTCTACAGCTGCTCATTTCTTGAATACGACCGAGTCAACTATTTTTTGTTACAAGTGACCTCCACATTGACGTCATTTTCACATTGTGACGTGGGGCAAAACGTTTCATTACACATGCTATTTATTGAACATGTATATGATTCTATGTGTCCCAAATTTCATTCTGATCCTGTGGTTTTGTAAATATAGAGATAGTTCGCAAACTTTTTGATCACCCCTCCTATATCCACATAAATACGTACATCTTATGATTGTCTTGGTTTGCGAGGCAAACTTTAACAGGAATTAAATAATGCACCAAGAGGTTTCACTGTAAATTACATCAACAGTAAAAAAAACATTTTTTGGTATAATGTAGATCTATAAACATAATAAAGTTTCCATAGTAGCTCTGTTCAAGCTATGTAGAAAAGCTTGATCACCATATAGGAAAATCTAAAGTAGTTCTGTTCAAGCTTTGTGGAGGAGCTTGGTCAGTAGATAAAAAATCTACAGAAGTTTTGTTTAAACTTTTTGGAAGAGTGGTCACTAGATAGGAAAATAAAGAGAAGTTCTGTTTTAACTTTGTAGAAGAGTTTGTCACTAAACAGAAAAATCTATAGTAGTTCTGTCCAAGATTTGTAGAAGAATTTGTCAATAGATAGGAAAATCTACAGTACATGTAGTTCTGTTTAAGCTATATGTAGATGAACTTGGTCACTAGATAGTAAAATCTACGGTAGTTCTGCTAAAACTTTGTAGAAAATCTTGGTCACTACATACGAAAATCTACAGAATTTATGTTCAAGCTAGAAGAGCTTGGTCACTATATAGGAAAATGCTGGCCAGCAGTTTCTACAGATTCAATATAGTGTATGTCAGCAGTTTTATTTGCTATTTTCAAGACCTTGATCATCAGTAGATCTTGAAGATTTACAGTATAATTTAGGCCAGCAGTTTCTATAGTAGTTCTGTTCAGTCTATGTAGAAGAGCTTGGTCAGTAGATAATCAAGATTTACAGTGTAATGTAGGCCAGCAGATTCCACACAGAAAGTCTGTTCAGGCTTTGTATAAGAGCTTGATCAGTAGATCATAAAGATTTACAGTATAGTTTCTACAGCAGTTTTTACATTAACTGTACCACAGGGCATAGAAGAGAAGCTTATAATCATCAGCAGTTGATAATGATGTTTAACAGTAATAAGTGGCTTCTATAGAAGTTCTGTTCAGGTGAAGACCACGCTGCGTAGGAGAGGAGCTTGATCGTCATCCTCCTGAGGGGGGTGCATGTTACTGTCCTCTGGGAGGGACCCTGACACCGCCCTCTTAACAGGGGACCTCTTCAGTGCCGGCTGGGATTTACTCTTTATCATTGCCTGATGGGCCTGTAAACGAAAAAATGAATCACAGTCATTTAAATTTCTATTTACAAAGCTACAGGATAATTAAGCAATTAATGATGAAAATTTATGAATTTGGTTATATGAGTGATGGATGTCTAAAATAAATGATAATCTCTAGCTTGCATTTAGGAAGCTGGTAATACAAAGCTCAGCATTTTAGCATTACATGTAATTTAAATTGATAGAATTTTGAAGGCATAGCCACATTAGTTTTTTTTTTCTTTCAAGCTTTGACATTTTATTAGTTATTAAGCAGTTTTACTTCTGAAAAATACATTCAAGCCAATATTTTCATCCACAGTCTTTTAAAAGTTAAAACATTTTTTTTTTTAATTTTCTATGACAATCCCTTTTTAAAAAGTAAGATTGAGATCAAAAGTGAGTTTTATGGCTCCCGAGCCAGGTCTGGTAAATACTGCAGTTAAATATTCTCAATAGAGTTTTTTCTCTACACAATGCTAAATGAATTATTTAGAAAACAGTTGTGAAGTGGTCATAAATCTATTCATTAAACACTGATCTTAATTTTTATTCTCAAAAGATTTAAACAGAAAAAAAATGAATTAAACATCACACATCAAACTGTGTTTTGAAAATATCAAAAAGATTATGTCTTAAAAAGTAAGTACCCTGAAACTACATGTACAATGTATATAGGAATGTGTGTACATGTATCACCTGTATATATTGAGCAAAACTTTTGATACATTATGATATGATAAAAGATATTTATCTGAAAGTTATGCTAGTATTACAGCTAGTAGCAATAAACATTGTAGAATCGGTTATTATCATCTACAATGGCATGATTTATGTAGTCTATAGAATACAGATGTATGACTGCAGAATCATAGGGACTTTTTAACTATGTTTAATTTTCATTCAATTGTTCTGAACCCATTTCTAAAGAATGATTATATCATAATTTAGGTCAAATTTACATTGGGAGGAAAATTATTTGGCAGTTTGACACAGTATCACTTTGCAAAAGCTTTTATGCATACACATATATTATATTTAGTTAATTTATGAAGAAAAATTTGCTAATTTTTTACTTATGTTAAGTAATTGTGCAAAAAATTAATAATTTTATTCTGGAAGAATCTACAGGTATATGTATATTAAAACAAACTTGAAATATAGTTTTAAATGATGGAGATCAAGAAATGTTAAATACAAAAGCTGGCCTGTCAATTGCAGATTCATAGAGATTTATAAGCTTATGCTTTCTAAGTATAAACAAAACATCAAATTATAACTGACATCATGCTATAAAGCTACTGGAGATCAAGGGAGACAACAGAGACCATATATAAGTCACCACTCACTAAATCATCTAACTCAGTTGGGTTACTGGCAGAAGGGAGATTACTCCTGTCATGTTCGAGGGAGTGAAGTCGATTAAGCATCTAAGTGTAAAATAATAAAGCAACTGTGTACATTGAGCTGGAATATCTTATAATTATATTCGTTCATTTTCACATAACAGGTAGGGCATATTAAACAAATTGGGGAAGAAGAATTTTAAAGCAATATGAGATGCAAATTTGACATGGGAAAATTTTGTTGCAAATTTGTAATCAACTATTTCAATGATAGAAAAAAGAACATTTATATATTTCTAATGTACATATTTGCGATGTAAGAACTTTTTATAAGCTTTTATTGAAGCAAAATTACATTATTGTCGTCCTGTACAATAATGATTTCTTATTTAGTGCTATACATTCGACTGTACAGAAATATTTCTTATGAAACAATTTCAAATATTATTTTGGTTTTATTTATCATAAGAGTTTAAAATACACACAAATCAATCATAATAACACATTTTTACAGCAAAATAAATTTCTAAAAAAATTTTAAAATGCAGCTCATATTGCTTTAAAAAATATATAGAAAACTTTTAATACATGTACCAAATAGAATTAAGGCAGAGACACATATAAAGGTAATTCATAGTATAAGTGTATTAACAGGTTTATACAAATTGTTGTTAATACATGGTAAACTAAAAGATTAATACATAAACCATCAAAAGTGACAAGAAGACAAAATGTTTTTCAAATGGATGAAAAAATTATTGCAAAAACATAATATGGGTGGATAAGAAATATTTAAGCTAACAACCTTAAAAAGAAAATAATTTTAAATTTGCATGAAAAAGAGGGTATATGTATATAAATCCAAGCTAGACTTACATTTCTCCTGGCCTTTGCCCTGGCGACCTGAATTCTTTGGTGGATATCTATGTAAACATCTGTCTCGTCAATTATCTCCTCCTGAATTAATTCTTCGATCACGTCTTCCAAGGTTATTATTCCAATGATCTGAAGAAAACAGAAATACATGGATGATGCATATTTATCAAAATATGATTACCGGTATATTTAAGTGTTTAATCATTCATATTCTTGATAGTATGTTACTATGATTGGCTTTATCAAACTCTCGCTAATGATTAAATCATTATTAAAACATGGAGTAATCTATCATAGTATAATGCAGTTGTGTGAACATAATACTTTAACATAATCAAGAAATGAAGACAATGCATTTAAGGGGTGGGGGCTCAATTTTGTAAATGCTGAATAGGAAAAAAAATTCAAACAGTCATCATCCTAAATATTTGGTCATTAATTATCCACACCTCATTTGTCTCTGGCAGAAATTCCACTTCATAACCTTCAACTGTCTCTGTTATTTCTGTGTGTTTTCTCACAAATGCTAAGTGACCTGTAAAGAATTAAAAATAAAAAAAAAATCAAGTAAAAAGTGAAAGCAAAGATTTTTTTTTCATATTAAAAGGGTGCCTCTATAGTATAACATCTAGTATTCCACTTAACTGAGATTACAAATATCTAGCGCACAAATTGTAATCTTACTAAATGTAAAAAAAAAAAAAATCAAGTTTTGACCAAATTTGATTACTCTACAGATATTTCTTGCATCGAATAAAAACTGGTTTACATTATAGACTCTGATATTTTGATATCAAACAGTTACACTGTTAAGCCTCTTACTTTTTCCTGTTTGGAACATATTTAATAGATCATAGAGTGGCAAGTCATCATTGACATGCATCAGGTTTGTCGTGCATTCATTCTTCAGTAGGTCTCGGACTGGGGTCTTATCCTCTGGGTTTAACATGATGTAGTTTTTTACCAGCAGGAGACCTACCACATTACTTGCATCATGTTCATACACAGGAACTCTTGAGTGAGCCTGATGGAGAATCTGAAACAAAATACCACCGTATGTCTTGAATATGCTTTAAGTATGCTGGAATTAATTTATGTGGAAATTTTTTAGCTGCATAGAAATAACAACAAGTGGGAAAAGTACTTTTATGGTGATACCAGGAAGCTAATCTAAAATGGAATAATTTCCATGTACCTAATATGGTTAGATAATTATGACAAACCTTGCACATAGTAGCTTTGTCCATCACTGCATCTGCATCAACCATAAACACATCACAAAGCGGCAACATGGCATCCTTCACAGTTTTATTCTTCATGTCAAGGGCACCCTAAAATGAATCAAAGTTTCAATCTTTCTGTGAAGGGAACCTTATAACAGAATCAAAGGCTTTACGTTAATGTCAAATGCTACTACCAAAAAAACTCATGAGCTAAAGATTTCTCTTTATGTCATGGTACCAAAAAAAAAATCTGAAAAATCTTGGTCTTCTCTCATTGTTTGGAGTCACTTACAAAACAGCAATTTAAGGATCACTTTCTTAGAATCCTCTATGGTAAACATCTTCAGAAACCAAATGATAATTTCAGTGTAAATTGTATCCTTTTTAAGGTTTTCTATACCTTAATTATTAGAACTTCGTCAATGGACAGAGGTTCATCATCATCCTCATCCTGTGTGTGGTGTACATTGGCTTCAGAGTTAGGACCATGCAGATCTACCAGAACTTTGAGCTGGGCTCGACGGAAGAAAGTCCCGTGGTCCTCACCCAGAACACAGTCTAAGAGCTTGGACAGTGGCCAGGCTATTATAAATAGGAGGGCCATCAGCAGGTAAACAATGCTGCAGAAAGAAAAAAGAATGTTATTGTGTTATACGAACAGTTGATTAATTTTTCTTGCATGTATACATAATTTATTGTGCATTTAAAATGTATCTATGCCACTTTAACATATCTTCAAAGAACAATACATGTACCGGTGCATGTACTCACTGAGCCTAACAGGGTGATGTAAATGTAATTCTTTGCAATTCATTAAATCAAGTTGAGCTTACTTTAATAAAGTCATTGTCTAAAGCTTGCAATTTTTTCTGTTTACTTACGGGGCTAATGTCGCTTCAATGGCCAGTCCAAATCTGGTACATATTGCTTGTGGAACAACCCTACAATTCATTAGTTAAAAGGTCTATGTAATTTCTGAATGTTGATTTCTCTAGCAATAACTTTTACGAACAATCTTGTACCGTACATTATAAAGTCCATCCAAAAAAAAAATAAACTCATATCTACATGTACATTATTCAAAAAAAAAAAGAGTTACATAAAATATATACTTGATACAACTTTACTCAAATTATTATTGAGCAAATATATATGTTCTAAAACTGCCCAAAGTCTTTAAATCTTTTAGGCTATCAAAACACAATGTAACACATTCGAAAGGTAAAGTATCAGTTCTACCGAATTCATTGAACTTACTCTCCAAATATAAGTACAGCAGTGACAGAAACAAGAATGGCTATCACGGGACTAGAGATTCTGTCTAAGAAGATTGGCATGGCCTCCACCGCGGCGGCGTTAGCCAGCAGTAATGTGACAAGGAGAAGGTGGTGTCTCTTTACGATGGGGAGGATCTTCTTGGCCTGTCTCTGTTGTTTTGGGGTTCCCCCATCCTTCATTATTTTAAGGGTCATCAGATCCAGAGAGAGAAGACCCATAGTTAACCCTGACATCAGACCTGTGTAAATAAAATTTCATTATCAAGTAACATCAAGGATATTTTACCCCTTACCAATTGAAAAATCCTTTTTAAATAAAAAATGTGTCCTTTTATGCAATCGGAAAATCGGGATATTATTATAGTTACAACGCAATACAAAAAAATTTAATATTTTACTCATAATAAGTTTATGAAATGATAAATTAAATTCATGCACATGCAACGAGAAAAATAACATTGAAAAATAAGCACTTCAAGCTGTTCTTCAAAATATAAATGCATAAAGCCATTTCATTATAATAGTGTTCTCAGGTGTAGGATTACTTAATCTCACCCGGAAAAGTGAAAGTAAGAGCAGAGTAAATTCGAGAACGTTCGATATTATACCTGCAAGCAGCACAAGACCCACGTAAATGCCCAGGTAAATCCAGAACCATTCATCGGTGTATGTGAGTGGTTCTTCTTCCACGAATATCGTGCCATTGCAATTAATTTTGTTATGAAGCAATTGACACGTTATGTTAGTCATGACATCGGTACAGGGTGGTGGTCCGTGCTCTGTTTACATCAACTCATACGAAATCTTCCTTCCTTTGAGGAGAGTTTTTCCATGTGAGTTGTCTTTCTTTCATTATCAGTTGGCGCAAAATTTGGACCTTTTCCCCGATTTTAAAACTAGTAAATAGTGTTATGTTACTTCCTTTTCAGTTTAAAATTAACACATTGAGCATTTCACATATTTCTAACTGCTCCTATGCTTAAAAAAGTCCATTGGAAGCAAAATTTATTTTTAAAGGGAGGGGGAGGCATCACCAACAAGAGGAAACTACTAAACAAAATAGATAAAACTAGTGGTACTAGCTGTTAGCAATGAGCTCACTAAATGATACGATTGAAAACCCCGCCTCCCTGTGTATATAATGACAAAGTCCATATTTTTGCTCTTGGAAACCCGAAATAAGTGTCAGATCAAACAGTAAAATAGAATGACATTGACATTGTGTATTAAAAAAAATTATTCAGTGGTACAAAAGGAGTTGCAGATATAAGCTTAAGAGATGGGCACCTTCAATATCTTAGAAAGAATGGCCGTATCCTTGTTTAGCTCAAGGAAATCCAAAATATGTGTCCGATCCCAAAAAAATAGGATGTGCACAATGTCACCACGTAACAACTAAAGATTCTATGAAAGTCTTATTCATTTCATTCAGTGGTATAAGAGGAGTTGCGGATAAGAGATTGGTACCCTAAAAAAGAGTAACGGACGGACGGACCATGCAAAGGTCTGTACGTCCGTTACGCTTCGAACGGGGTACCCATTTCTTATCCTCAACTCCTCTTGTGGAGACTTTCACAGAATCTTGTTACATAGCGCCATTGTTCACCTCCAATTCGGACACAAATTTTTAGTTTGCCATGACAAAACATGGACATTGCCATTCTTTCTGTAATATTAGGGGTATCCATATCTCATGCAACTCCTCAGTCTTATGCCACTTCAAATAAGATTTAATGATACTTTCACAGATTCCTTTTAACATAGTGCTTTTGTACACCTTTTATTTTACTTTTTGATCTCACTTTTATTTTGGATATTTCAGAGCAAGACATGCTCTTTGTCATTATAATCATATGGGTGGTGGAGGGGGTATCTTTTAGTGAGCTCAGTGCTCACACTACCTCTATTTTTTTTATTATAATAGCACTAATTTGACTTGCAGCACAATGATCACTTGCAAGGTTATTTAGGATACACAAGTTCATCGTCATTTTAGTTCCTTCTGTAATCCTTCTGTAATCCAGAGTGTTTTCCTGTTCAACACTTGTACACGTGTTTATGATTGTATATTCCTGTTTAGTATGTTATGTACAGCTTAATGATCGAGTAGATATAAATTTAGGTGCCTCTCCACATTTGTGTCATCAATCCTTTTTTATACCCCAGCTTGAAAAACGGGAGGGTATATAGTAATCGGGATGCCCGTCCGTCCGTCTGTTACGCGTTGGGGTACCCACCTCTTATCCGCAACTCCTCTTATACCACTGATTAAAATTTGATGAGACTTTCAGAGAATCTTTATTACATAATGCCATTGTGCACCACCTATTTTACATTTTGATCCGACACATATTTTGGGTTTCCCGTAGCAAAACATGGACATTGTCATTATATTCTTACCTATGGTATGACGTGAGATGTGGTGGCTTCTGATAACATGGGACACCACGAGTTATTCCTCATTACACATTACAGTAAAACAATACAGAGAGGGCAAGAGATCTTCCAAAAGATCTATATACACGTAACAAAGCTTGAGCTAGTACTTTTTGATCTGACACACACATTTTGGGTTTTCCATAGCAAAACGTGGAAACTGCAATTATATTCATAATAGAATCGGGGGTGGGGGGGGTATCATTTAGTAAGCTCATTGCTCTTATAGAACCTATTCCCCATTTTCAAAAGTGAGTTATCTCCCCTCAAAATCGGAACTCTTCAACACTAGCATAACTTCCGCGGACTACATGTTACGATAATCCAACAAAATAGTGATCAACTTACACGCTGAATTTAAAAATTTTAAAAGAAGGAAATGGTTTGCATTTTTTTTAGATAATAAATTATTTTATAAAGGGTTGTTAGCCCCCCCCCTTTCTAAAGCTATACGAATTAGCCAGGCACCTATAGCATCGTCTTTAAAAGGGGGGGGGGGGGGTAGCCAAAGAAATTTTTTTTTCTTACCTGGAAAAGTTGGCAAGCAAAGAAAAACCTTGCCCTAAAAGTTGAAAAAGCTAATACTTATTTCAGTACCAGTTCCTTGGCATACAATACTACATTTCCCTTATATAACTTTACCGTAGTATAAACTGAGTGTGTGGGGTGGGGGGGCTGGGGTTGACAACCTGTCTATCAATGAACATTTTCAATAGAAAAAGTAATATTGGGAAAAAAGTGGGGGTTGGGCTAAACCCCTTGACCCTGCACTCCTCCCCCCCCCGTGCGTACAGGTACAGAGAATATGTAAATGGGTTGAACAGCTGAAAATGAACCAAAGTTGTGAAAATTAATATTATTATTAGATTTTTTAATTGTGAATTCAATAAAATTACGGTACATATATTTTTTCACAGATGTACATGTATGTCAGTTACACGGAGTCTCTCTCTCTCTCTCTCTCTCTCTCTCTCTCTCTCTCTCTCTCTCTCTCTCTCTCTCTCTCTCTCTGATATTGTTTATTTACACACTTTGCAAAAAATGAATAACTTATAAAAATAAATACATGTACTTACACTGAAAGGATTTTAAAAAAATAAAATAACACTTGAGAAAAGATTGTTTTCAGTTAATTAACGAGAAATACGCTAGGAAATTATTGTATCAATTTCGTGTTTCTGCTCTCAATTCTCTGATCTAAAACAAAATGTGTATTTTACTCGGGAATATACATGTACATATGCTTAGATCCTACACTAAAACTTTGATTAAATGCAGCTCAGACTTTATACGACATATGTAACACGAATTCAGGTCGAAGCTATTTTAATTAGTCTTTCTTCTTTACATGAGCACATGAGATTAAATTATTCATTTAGAATTCCATTCAAAGTTTTAATACTAAATAGTGAATCAATTATTTTACAAATAGAAAATTCTAGAAACACGGTTAATTCAAATGAAATAGGCCTTTAATTGTCACCAAATGTGTTCTTGTAAGTAAAAGTTCTATGTTATGACATACAATCGAGCAAAAACGCAGTTTCTTGGTATCGGTAGCGGAAGACGAACTACTGCTGTATATGCAGCAATTTCAGAGGTAAAACTGTAGATGGACATGTCATCAGTCTTCAAAAAATTCCTAGAGATACAATAAAAATATGGCTGCAGCAGGCTAGATTAATTCGTAAAAACTTTATAACTAAAAATTTGTTCCGCACATTTTGTAAATAATGATGATCCGTCTGCAGAACATCCACTACCGAAAATTAGCTTTTTTGTTTGTGTTTTTTTTAATAGGCCTATTCGAATATGTATCAGCATTTTAATAGTAATTTGTTTTTTTTTTTTTTTTTGGGGGGGGGGGGGGGGGGGGGGGGAGCTACACAGCACCTTATTATAGTACTACACAGATTAATACAAATCCAGAAAGAGACTATGAGTGGGCAATTTAAAAAAAATACGAATCAGTTAAGATTTCTTTTTATATTTACAAACACAATAACATTTTTCCATATGACAGAGGCATACACCATGAACATGTTTACATCAAGAATTAACGTCCGCGGAAGTGACTTTATTTATAGCGCATGCGTATTAAACACAGTAAAAGAGTTCCCTTCAGGGGAAACAACTCACCTTTTGAAAATGGGGAATGTTTTTTCTATTAAATATATTTTATAGTGATATGACCTCATCGAATTGGGTATTACCCCTTCATATTGATTGCTGATAAACTGGTTCAAAAGAGTGGTATTATACCTATTCGCATTTTTACATTAAACTAGAGGAACTGTGAGCACTGACTCATGCATTAAATGATACACCCGTCTCCCTAATGATTATGATGGCAAAACCCTGGACACGTCATTTTTCTATACTAATGAGGGGAACTCCTCATATACCACTGAATAAAATTTAATGATTCTTTTAAGGATTTTGGTTACATTATGTCATTTTTCACCTCCTATTTTAACTTTTATTTGACACCCATAGCAAAATGGGCTTTGCCATTATAATCATACAGGATGCAGCTTGGGATATCATTTTGTGAGCTCAGTGTTCAAAGTACTTCTAGTTTACTACTTCGTTCTGTAAACAGTGGAAGGGAATGGAACAAAAAATCCCTTTAAAAAATGAAAAACTGCATGTTGCGATCGATTGTAGCAGAGTCTAAAAGCTAAACAGGTCAATGGCTAATACCTCTAAATTCAAAATGAAGACATAAAGTTTTTTTTAACTTTTTTGGGGGCTTTTGTGATGTCCTTGTTGTTTTTATTGTAAACTTCAAAATCCAACAAAAATTCAACAAAAAGCAGCTTCCCATTGTTGAAATATATAAGAGAATTTATTCATTCCTTTATCATATTCAAAAGACTTCTAAATCTTATCAATTCCTATTCAAGCCTCATTCCAATATCTGTCCTCTTAGTGTTTTGTCAAACAAATAAATATTGAATTTATTATCATTTATTAGTTTTTAATTCAGTTTAAAAATTTTCATTCTCACAACGTACGCCAATATGCTCCTGAGTCCACTTGTTCTTTTAACCGGATGTTTAAATTATGTGGTAAAATTCTTTAAAACATTAATCAGCTCTCAAAAAAATCAAGTATTTAGACCGAAGGATTTTAAAAA